CCGTACAAAATTAAGACTGGGCAAAGAAAACAGTCTATTGCCATCTGGCTAATGCAAATCAAATAGCAAATATAGACACTGGAAAATGGCCAAAAATCTAAACACATTTATGAGTAAAAAGAGCTGCTACCCAGCGAAGCAGCAGCTCACATAAGCCAAATGCCCAGATTTTGTTGTTGTTGTTGTTGTTGTTGTTGTTGTTGTTGTTGTTGTTGTTGTTGTTGTTGTTGTTGTTGTTATTGTTGTTGTTGTTGATTGCCATGGTGCAATTGGATCCAATGGGTTAATAGAGGTGCCAAAGTCATTCTTCACAGAATCAGACTAGGTACCACTGCACATGGCAAATTATAGAAACAATTGACTATACTGACAGGTGTTGTAAGCACTGTGGCACAACACCACCCTGATACATTATTTACAGAGTTGTTAGCACACACAATTTCTGAGACAGGGAACACCCACCACAGCTGCTAGGCTGGCTAAAAGATTATGCGGCAGGAGCACCTGCTTTTAATCCAGCCACTACAGTAATCATTCAGTGACAGTGAATCAATTTAGACAGCCATAAATAGCTGACACAGGCCAAGCCATATATTCAGAAGGCCTGGGCTAAGTTTGACCTAGAAAATCTCACTCACTCATTCCAGCAGTTGTAATTTTTGTGTGCCTCCATAAAAAAATAACTTTCCTCTATCCCTTACCCATCCCCTATCCCCCATTCTTCCTTTGCACTCTTCTTTCCAAATTTTTAACCTTTCAAATATGCTTTCTTTCAGGAGTGATTTGGAAATTGCAGGCCACCTTGTGTCCCAATTTTTGAATTACAAAAATTAACCCATTTGCCCTGGATTTATGTTCTGTCCCCTGTAGTTTTTGGTGAATTTTGTTACATACAGATGGCACCACATGTGCTCAGCCAGCAAGGAGTCTATCAGTAGACCCTAGTTACCGATCCTGATTTTCCCATTCCTCGAATTGGCGGGAAAAATAATACCACTGCTATCGATACTGTTATTATTGTTATTGGTGTTATGATTATTAAACTGTCATTAAAATATTTTAAACAAAGAAATGATACGAAAAACCCTTTCCTAAAGTGAAGGAAGAGGATAAACAGGTGAGATAAGTAGTTCTGATAAACTGGCTATTTGGTGATTAAGAACTTGTAGAGCCATCTATGTGTAAATACAATAAATAAACGTGCATTACAGTGGGCATGGCATGTATTTCTGTCACATGGAGCGAATGGGTTAAAAAAAAAAAATAGATAACAAAAAATAAAAGAAATTACTCAAACATAATTCACAATGGCAGGCAGCCCCCTCCCACCCCAAAAGAAAAAAAATTACCAAATTATGATGCCGATAGATTTCTAATACCCATCAGCATTGGGTTAATGTATAGTTTGTAAAAAAAAAAAAAATGTGTGTGTGTGTGTGTGTGTGTGTGTGTGTGTGTGTGTGTGTGTGTGTGTGTGTGTGTGTGTGTGTGTGTGTGTGTGTGTGTAAGATTCAACATCTGGACCTGACCTCCCTCCAGCTGGCCTGACCTGACCTCCCGAGAAGGGCTACCCCCCGGGGCGAGGCAAAAAGGGAAAAAGTGACCATTCTCAGGCCCATGGGCGCCCACTGCAGGGAGCCATGCCCTGGGCAGGAAATAGGGAGGCCACGCCCACACGAAGGTCGGGCATTGGCAGTTTCTTTAGCCACGCCCCTGTAGCTCCGCCCCTGGCTTCCAATCACCGCTACTTATTCTCCCAGGATGGCCCTGTCAGACAGAGTGTGACGAGAGTGTTCTGTGCCGAGGTGGGTCACGCCTGACCCCCGGCCAGGTTGCCGTTGGCAGGGCTTGCCGTCTGACCTAGGCGCCCTCGCTTTAATCCAAGCCTTGTCACCTTGTGCTTATTCTGTGTGCTAGCTCTATCAATAAAAAGAGTTTTTAGCCACTAAGCTTTTTCTACTTCCCTGTTACCAATGTTTAAGAGGTGTTTATAAAACTCTTACAGTGTGTGTGTGTGTGTGTGTGTGTGTGTGTGTGTGTGTGTGTGTGTGTGTGTGTGTGTGTGTGTGTGTGTGTGTGTGTGTGTGTGTGTGTATGTGTGTGTGTGTGTGTGTGTGTGTTTGTATTCTTCCTAACTACTAAACTAGTCTTTTAAACCATAGCTGCTTGTTTAGTAATCATCATGGGCATTTATTTAATTGTTAAGGATGTTCTTTCTCTCTATACAGAGATTATACTAAATAAAATTGAAACTATTTATCTTCTTTTATATTATTCATATCTAAACAAAGTAAATAGTATTGCTATTACCTTTCAAATTATAATCAAAATCCTCTAAATATAATGATTTATACTAAACACCATTAATCAATATATCAAAGCATACCAATCACAGGTTAATCCCAGCATATCTTAATTAACCCATTGGATCCAGTTGCATCATGACAATCAAATTTTTCAAAATCCGGGCATTAGGCCTTTATAAGCGGCCTCTCTGCCAGGAGGCTGCTTGGGTGCCGGGCACACACGAACCTACCTACATGTGTGCGTATGGTGATAAGATTCTATGCCTTCTATTTGCAAAGTTATTAACTCCTTTTACGCATAAGCAATTTTAGGTTTTTGGCCATTTTCCCAAAGTCCTTATCTGCCATTTGATATGCATTATCCAAATGGTAAATATATATTTTTTTTTTGCAAAGACTCCAATCATCTCTCTAGGTAGTCTACAACTCAGTGCAAGAAAAATAAAATTATTTAAGACTATGTTATTTGTGTCATTTTTTTATTTTTATGTAATATTCAATTTTCTATAATACAACCTGCGTCCCCACTCACAGTGCCAGGAATACGATTCTGAGCATAGAAATGGTAGATGGGTGGGTATGGGTGGGTGGGTGGTTATGGATGGGTGGGTGGGTGGGTGCGTGGGTGGGCTGGTTGGTTGACTGCTTGGTTGACTGCTTGGTCGATTGGTTGACTTGTAGGCTGGTTTAGTTGGTTAGTTGGTTAACTAGCTGGTTATTTGGTTGGTTGGTTGGTTGGTTGGTTGGTTGGTTGGCTGGCTGGCTGGCTGGCTGGCTGGCTGGCTGGCTGGCTGGCTGGCTGGTTGTTTGGTTGGCTGGTTGTTTGGTTGACTGCTTGGTTGACTTGTTGATTGGTTGACTGCTTGGTTGATTGGTTGACTTGTTGGTTGGTTTAGTTGGTTGACTAGCTGGTTATTTGGTTGGTTGGCTGGTTAGTTGGTTGGTTGGTTGACTGCTTGGTTGACTTGTTGATTGGTTGACTGCTTGGTTGATTGGTTGACTTGTTGGTTGGTTGACTAGCTGGTTATTTGGTTGGTTGGCTGGTTGGTTGGTTGGTTGGTTGGTTGACTGGCTCACTGGCTGGCTTGTTGGCTGGTTGGTTGGTTGGTTGGCTGACTGGTTTATTGGTTGGTTGGTTGACTGCTTGGTTAATTGATTGACTTGTTGGTTGGTTTAGTTGGTTAGTTGGTTGACGAGCTGGTTGGTTGGTTGGTTGCCTGGCTAGCTGGTTGGTTATTGTTTAGTTGTTTGGCTGGCTGGTTTATTGGTTGAATTGTTTGTTGAGTGGGTGATCAGTAGCTAAGAATATTACAATAATGGAACTCAATGAGTAAATCTCATGCCCACGGGAAAGTAAGAAGTGAAGTGGTTTTGGCCCTCCTCAGGGTACAAGCTACAAGATTGACCCGCAACTGACAATCATTTACCGACAGTATGCCAAAAAAAGACAGCACCTTATTTTCATATCAAATATATGGAATTCACACAATCAAATCTGTAAGCAGATGACGAAAAAGGAGACAAAACTCCATGACCTTTTCTAGATTGAAATAATGAATAGGAGCCACTGGCTTCATGATCTTACTGGCTGTATTAACATGGCTATATGCAGCTGATAACCAAGAAATCCAAGAGGCAAGTAATCTAGCAGTAAGCAAGATTAGCTGCAGTATCAAATAAATACCTCAGAAAATGTAGTCTTCAATGTATTTTCTATTTTTTTATTTCACAAGTGCTCAGTCACCATGGTGTCAATTAGTAGACCTTATGACACCTGATTTCATCTTTCCTTGATGTAAAAAAAAAAAAAGTTTCTTTTAACTAATGTCATCAATACTGATGTCATTATCATTATTGACTTTATATTGTTATTAACATTATTGATAACAATACAACTTACTAATTGGTGACAAGTACTTGTGGAGCCATCTATGTGTAAAGACAATGGGCATGGCTTGTATATACATGTTATCCCCAGCAGCATCTAGTTAAAAATTGGCTAGTGGCCAGTAATGAAGGTTATTGACACCAAACAAATAATATTGTAACTATCGCAGAAAGACAAGCTCCCTCTAATGAGCCAACAGAGTGGGGTATGTCATGATATGGTCCACCACTGTTACTGCATGATATCAAACCATCAGCGACTAAAGGATTAAGTATTGGACTGAGGGTAAAGGAAGGTTTAGATAGCATTTTGCAAAAGCTAAAAATTAAAGTTAAAAATTTCTAACAGGGAGACAAACAAAATTAAATAATCATATCAATATTCAATAACAACATTAACCCCTTGCTGACAGGCATGACACGTACATACATGTCCATTGAGAGTTTACTTGTTTAACTGTTTCATTGTTTTTACACATAGATGGCTACTCTTGTACAAAATCACCAATGAGCCAGTTACAAGTACTGCCTGTCTCGTCCGTTCACCTTTTTCATTGATTTACGAAAATATTTAACGTTATCTTATTTTGCTGTTACAAATGTTTATAACATTTTAGTAATTATAATGTTTATAATAAAAAAAACACCATCTATATTTATAGCACAAGTAAAAATACTTTTTTGCACCAATTCAAGGAAAGGTGAAATCCTTTATGGCTAAGCACTAGCAGAGCCATCTAGTAACAGGGACATTTCACAAAAATATAAAAAATGAGCACAGAATTTCCCCATTTTTTATTCATTTTCCCCGTCGGGAAAGGGTTAATGATACAAGGTATGAAGGACAAAGAGCTGGAGAAAGATGAAAAATTGCAAATAGAAGAAAAAATGAAAAGCAGAGAAAACAAGAAAATAAATATCTAAAAACTTCTTACCTAGTTCTTTAAGTACTCTGTCAACATTGACCAAAGTTGCCTGGTTCTGGAAGGATTCAATTATACACACAGCTGTTAGGTCCTCTAGGGCTTGTTCTAGGTCTTTTAGTACCTCACATGCTTTGGCTCTCCTCTGCAGTGCCTTAACATATTTCTCATTTAGCTCCAGGGCAGCAGTGCAGTCCCGGAGAACACACTCCCAATTTTT